GCCCCTGACCCACCCACCTGCCATCTCCACACCCGCTGCCTAGCTTCATAATCCCGAGCCCTGCTTAACATGGCAGCACTGAGCTACTCCTTGCTGGATTGTTGAGCGATCAGCATCAGTCGCTCAGTAGTTTGAGAATCTGTGAGACGTTTTCCGTCAGTTTGCCTCTAATTGAAGTTTTTGTGCGCAGATCTTTCCCGGACCTTTCCCTGCCTGCAATCCTGTGAATGAGTGTGACCCAGTTAAGGAGTGAGGAGAGTGATTTGGAGACCTTTTGGAGCACGTTTGATCCCCTTCCCTCCCCTCACAGATCCTGGAGCCCTGGACCCCCCTTCAGTACATTGTATATATTATCACCTGGTGTTGTCTGTATAAATAAATTAACTGTCTTCTCTAAAAGGATTCCTGGTCTGCGCCCGAGTCCGTTAACTAATCCTGACAGATCAGCTGTCGGAACTGGGTCGCCGTGTTACGCTGGCTGGGGTCCTTCTTTTCCACCTGGTCTTCCTGCACTCCTCTTCATGTCTGGGGCCTATCTTCTCCAGTACTCAGCTGGCTTCCTTTTAATAGGTCTTTAAACAGCTGATAGGCCACCTCTGGACACACCCAAAGCTCAGCAGGTGATCTCTATCAGCTAATTTGTCCCATGCACCCAATCCACAGTGGATTAAAACATTGTCAAATAACACACTAAAAACATGCAATACAAACAGAATGAAACCATGCAAATAAAAACTACACTCATAAATAAACACTAAAATTCAGAATAAAACCAATATACAAGATAAATACAAATTTCCACTGTGTGACAATTGTCTCCTGTGGCTGCTTGGGTCTTGGGGGCAGCAAGTGCCTCATCCATGCTATGACCTGTCCCCTAGATGGGCTGTAACAAAAGAAACTACAGAAAAAGGGACAGAACTTTAGTAAAGAAATCTGGAGAAATTGCTGCGACAATAAAATCATCAAAACAGCTCCTAGAACAACAGTGTAAAAGTGTTCAATCCCCATTAGTTATGTTTTACTGGGTAACACTAAGAAAATTACTAAAGTAATATATCAGATATGTTGCATCCCAGTGAGCAATAGAGGTAGTGGACATTACAAGCAGAGCAAATTTCGAAATGATACTGGGGTCAATATAACACTAGGCACAGTCCCGGCTGTTTCTGGTGTGGGAAATGTTTTCTTGGCACAACTTAAGCATGCTTTTATTAGTGAAGAATAATTTGTAACTATGAAGCATTGTCCCAAAAAGTTGATTCTGTTCATCTGGACGTAACGTTTTCAGAGGGAGAAATGTTTTGTCACTCATCCAAGTGACGTCTTTAGACTCAGCTGACTGCAGGGCTCCCCAATCTTATAAACGGACATTTGCATAATGACTGAAACTAACACCACTTATGAACAATGGGCTGGGAGGTCCATTTCTTCATCATTAATTTACAATGCTTCTAAATGAGAATACACTCCTAAAGGTGTTTGAATTCACAGACAAACTTAGCCCAGCACAGCATGAGAAGTCTAAGACCAGGAAACAGGAAATCTGTGCGTCAGAAACATCACCAAAATATGGAGAGTGTCCTAAGAGAAAAGTATGCCACACTGAGGATGGGGACAAGTGGGTTAAACATTTTGTCTGACAGACAGCTCACCCAAGCAGAGAAAAACATCCTTGCAAAAGGGTTGAACTTTGTTGTGACGCCGAGAAAAATCCCACTAGTGGAACTGATCGCAGCAACTGAAACAACAGCAGACATGAAGCGGAGTAACTGCAAATAAAAGTTTCGGCTTGTCTCAGCAGTGCATCCAAAATAAGCATGGAGGAGAGGAAGGCATTCGCATCGCTTAGTAACAACAACAACACTATCATCTTTCTGCCAAACAAGGGTAGGTGCACAGCTTTGATAAACAAGAAAGACTATTGTGTTGGAGGTGTGGTCTGAGGAGGGGTGGTGCAGTGGGCTCGAGGGACAGTGCCAGGGAAACTGGTGGAGCAGCTGAAAGCCATTCAGCACATATGCTTTCACTATATCAGTGATGCTGGGACCTGGAGATGGAGCCAGCTGGAAAGCTGAGAAGTGGTGAACCTGTAAGCAGGGGAACTGTAAAAACCAATGCATTTTGTAATACAGAAACCACACAAACACACCAAATGTCTCAGGTTTTTACCAGGCTTCACAACTATCATGAGAAAATGTTGTTACTGCTTAGTGATAAAAATACTTATGAGCCCCTGAAACGAGACCCAGGAAGTGGTTCCAGGAAGAGGATGTTAGGTTGTGTGAAGCAGTTAGAGCAACACATTGCTACTGACCGGACCTCATAACACAGGGGAACCTACATCATCTGTGTGGTTTACCAAAGACACATAAACAGGGTATACCAATTGTCTATATGAACAACTCGGTAAATGGTAAATGAGCTCTGAGCTCTCAAAGCACTTTACGCAGGATGGTCACCGATAACATCACCAAGTTTCTGGCTTCGATCCTCAAACCGATGATAGTCAGCTCTAAACACCACATCCAGAACACTTTTGTTCTGTACTTAATTCCACCTACTTCACATACAAGGGTCAGTTCTACAGGCAGAAACATGGGTGTGCCATGGGCTCCCCAGTTTCACCCATCGTGGCCAATTTGTACATGGAAGAAGTGGAAAAGAGGGCTTTGCTATCCTACCCTGGAACACCACCAAGCCATTGGTTCAGATATGTGGATGACACCTGGGTGAAAATCAAATCTCAGGACGTACCACATTTCACGGATCACATTAACTCGGTGGACCGACACATCAAATTCACCAGGGAGGATATGAAAAGTGGCAGGTTAGCCTTCTTAGACTGTGAGATTTCCATCAGTAATGGGGGACATCTAAAAGCTGACGTGTACCGTAAACCTACACATACGGATCAGTATTTAAGGTTTGACTCTCATCATCCACTGGAGCACAAACTGGGCGTCATCAGGACGCTACAACACAGAGCGAACACCATCCCCACTGACACAGCAGCCAGGGAGGCAGAAGAACATCAAGAAGGCCCTGAGTAAATGTGGTTATCCCAGCTGGACTTTTGTCAAAGCTGGGAAGGCTCCTAAAGAAAGCTCCAGCCGATCCAGGAGAGAAGGACAACCGCTGCCCACCTGTAGTGATCCCGTACATGTCAGGAGTATCGGAGCAGCGACACATTTTTTCTAAACACCGGGTCTCTGTGGCTTTTAAACCCCAAAACGCCAAAACTTGGTCCACCCCAAGGATCGGGTCCCCCGACACAAACAGAGTAACATAGTGTACGCTGTTAAGTGCAGGAGGATTGGCAGGATTTATACATCGGGGAAACCAAACAACCTCTGGCTACAACACAGAAGAGCTACCTCGTCAGGCCAGGACTCTGCAGTCTGTTTACACCTACAGGCCAGTGGACACTCTTTCAATGATGAGGATGTAACATCCTGGACAGGGAGGAACGCTGGTTTGAGGGCGGAGTCAAGGAGGCCATTTACGTGAAAAGGGAAAGACCATCTCTGAATCGAGGAGGGGCCTAAGGGTACATCTGTCACCATCTTACAATGCTGTGATTGCAGCCATTCCCCAACTCTCTGTGAATGGACTCATGGTTATTGATCAGTGGTCGTGACAATTTGCTTATTAATTGTCAAGAAACTGACTGATTTGTGACTGTACTATCTGGTTGGTTGTACAACCTCACTGCTAGGTGCCACCAAATCTCACAGTAGTCTTTAATTCTACTTAATCCTGATCTGAATGCCACAACCTGAGAACTGTTGCTGATCACGTGGATGCTTTCATGGCCACACTTTACCTTATTCTATGCCTATAACTACCTGTGGTACTTGGAAATATGAAGAATGTTGACAGTTGTGGAAACGTAATATTTCCATGATGTGTCACATTAAATACTCACAATACACGAAAAAGTTAAATAAACCTAATAAAGTAAAAGATCAAATATGCAGAAATTGAGCTTTTCAGAGAACAAAGAAAAGTACACTGAAAGTAAAGGTAATTTTAAAAAAGAAAAATAATCTTTTATTTGATTAAACCCACAATCTTTTATCTAATTTGAGTGTGTCAGCCATTGTACAGCAATGAGAGAAAAATGGAGAAAACATATCAGTTAAATAGAAATGCACAACATTTGTACAAAACGGGAATGGAAACAACTTTGTGAAAACAGACATTACTGTCAATGTTCAAAATGTTAGTCACACTAACGAATGATTCAGAGAAACATGGGACATACTGTTTGAAATTTAGTTATAAAAAAAATAATAGCACATACTAGTTTAACACAATATTTGGAGTAACTTTTCTTCATTCACGCTGTAACCAGTTCATTTAATTTCTTTGTATTGTACTGGTTGGAGAACCTATAGTGTACGGGGAAACAGTGGAGCTAATGTTAGATGAAGCAGCAGTGTCATAAACACAGCTAGGCTGGTTCCAAAGGTTAGTCACTAAGGCTTGCTATCAGCATGCGTGGAAACAAGAAGACCAGCTGCCAGTTGCACCTTTTTCCCACAGTCCTGTTTTGTTCAGGAAAAACACTCCACTAGTGTAACATTCTGGCTACTGCTAAATCCTAGCTCATAATATGTACAGTAATCATGATCACTGTCTGTATTCAGAGTCACCGTATAAGTGACCTGAACCAAGAGCCTGATTCAAACAAATTTACAGCAGGAGCTGCTTCTGCTTGATATTGATTGGCTGGTCTATCCATAGGCTTTATTTTCTACTCAGATGTTCAGGAGTGAGAGCCTCCAGATCATCAGTGATTCATTCTGCATATTAATATCTATATTATCCCAATCTATGATCTTCCTGTAAGCCCAACCATGTGGTTTTTTTGTTTGCTGCAATTAAACCTGACCACTTTTTTCAAATATATCTATATTTAATATGTCACATTAGAGGGCATAACACTAGTTAAAGTCCTGGGTTCAAATGCAGTCTGGGGCCTTTCTCTCCTGTGCTTGTACAGCTTCCTCCCACAGTCCAAACACATGCATGGGTTAGGTTAACTGTGACTCTAGACTGACTGTGGCTGTCAAACTGAATGGTTGTGTGTCTCTTTGTGTTAGCCCTGTGACGCACTGACAACCTCTCCAGGGTGTACACTGCCTCTGAGAGCTCCTGTTATACTTAAATTAATAAATGGAAGCGGATGGATGGATGTCATATTATTATTCACAGATCAGAAGATATATTAACATGGACACAAAAAAAGAAATCTTTTTTTTTATATGAACAACTTTGAAGATGAGACGTGGAAACTTAAACACATTTTTCTACCTCTGTGTACTAAACCTGACATCATCACACCATGAATGGGAGTGAATTATAATAAAAACTTCATCATTCAAATTTCAAAGTCTGCAGGGCCATCCAGTGGGTTGGATTAGACCCTTTGACTGGTTGGACCCCTGAACTACAATATCTGTACCAATGTCAAACTACCTGGATTCAGGGTGCCACAATTTGAACATACTGATTAAAAAGAAATCTATTTAGACATGTTAGACTCAACAACCCAAAACAAAACTATGCAGACGTCACATTTTTATGAATACTTTCTCATCAAAACAAAGAATAAAGAGGCTTTGCAGTAGCTGGAGTCACTGAAGATGGCTTAGGGCTCTATGTCTGTAGTCTCTATTGGGAAGAAAATGAATAAAGTATTAGTTTGAGTTGACAAGTAGTACACAAAGAGTGTGTTTTATTATGCTGCAGCAGTTATTATGTGGAGGGCGAGGTTACAGGGAAGTTTCAGGTAAGCCTGCTATTGTTTAAACTAAGGGCTTGTCTTTCAGTGACCAGTCAACTGTAGTTAATGATTATGCAGTGATAAGAGTTTTACTGCCACAGTTACAGCCATTTTTTTACTTCTGCTTTTAAAGTCCATCAAAAACAAAGCTATACCCGGCTAGACAGAAACCTGTCTTTTGTTGCACCATTACCCTTACGTAAAGCATCTGTGAAGGTCATTAATGCGACTGTAATCCAGGGATCATTGCACAGATTTGAAAAAAGGACTTCTAGTCCAAAATGTAATATGTTTTATAATGTTTTGTATTTATCAAATAACACTAACTGGGTATCCTTTTAAAAAAAAAAAAATGGGATGAAGATGTAAATTGAATGCTATGACGTCAGCTGAACACCTACAGAAGATTTGGGACAAGCTTAGTGCTTTAAAAAAGCTGATTTTCTCACATTTCACATTTTTGTAAATGAGAAACTAACAAAAAATGTATCCCTGCCTGTCCCCAACACACACGCACTGTGAGGAGTAGCCCAGTGTCGCTAATCTGTTGGAAAAACGTGATCAAAGGGTAAAGGTATTAAAACCCATTTTCTGTGTGTTGTTTCTTATACGATTTGAATTTTTGCCATCTTTGTCGTTGCTCAATATCATTTCAGTTAGTTTCCGCTATTAAAAGTCTTGGTTTTACGTTTATTTCCTTTGACCAATTTACTGTTTTTTACTGACTACAATAACTGGGCCTGTGTGCGCTGTGAGCCAGGCCTCACCTGTACGCCAGGCCTCACCTGTACCCGTCATTATGCAGGTGATGTCTCTGTAGCGGTGTGGGGCATCTCTACGCCACAGTCTGCTATTGAGGAGGTAGCAGTCTGTGTGGTATTGCCCATCGTTGCCATGGCTACGGTCACCCGCTCCGGCGGTGACACAGGTGGCCCCGAGGCTGACCTGGGCATGCGGGCCGTATGGGACGGTTCTCTGTTCCTGCGGAACGAGTTTCGGATGCCGGTGGACACGCGGCTGGAGAGGCGCCTCACGGCGCCGCTGATGCCCCCAAGTCCGCCCTTGTTCTTTTTCAGTAACCCCACATCATCCTCCAGCTCTGACGGGGGCACTTCGATGTTCCCAGAATACCAGAACACCCACCAGATGAGGCTGAGGAAGATGACGATGGCGCCCGCGTAGATGAGCAGGTCGTAGAAAAACACGTTGACAAACACGCCGAGGAGGAGCACGGCCAGTCCCACAATGTCAAACACCACCGCGAGCCAGAAGCAGCACACACAGCGACCCAGACCCCGATAGGCCGGCTCCATGTCCCATAAAGAGAAGTCGGTCCCCACGACGCGTTTATTTCCCGTCGTCTCTGTGCCGCGGCATTGAGCGCGGCTCCAGTGTGAGCCAGGCGTGGCGTCCTGTCCGCTCAGGTGCGCTGCCCCTGAGAGGAGGGGCTGTAGACGCTACCTGACGGCTGCGCTCATGTGCGTTTATGATGAGCGTTTATAAGGGTGTAGCTTACTGGGCCCAGACTTCGGACGTTACAGTGCAGGTATGACTCATTAAACGTGAATATGAGAGCGGCTTTATAAACTGAGAGGCCAGCATTAATAAACTACAAAAAGAAAACTACAGATGACCTGACCAATGCCGCCTTCGCCATCTTGTTTTTAGGACTGGCCACCAGAAAAAAAGCACAATTGCAATATTTCAAAATCGATTAAGAAGATAATTTATATTTATGGGTGAATCATCCCTCTGATAGGAACACTCCGTTAACCAGTAGTGTGCTGCTACTTTTAGCTGCCCTCTTGCCACAAAGGGGTAGCCACAGCAATTAGCTCCATATGTTTGAGTTTTATGCAAGATACCCTTCCTGACACAACCCCAAAGGGTACTTGTGTCTCTGTCTAGAACTAAACCAACAACCTTTTGCTTGAGTAGATGTACTAACCACACCACTTGAGATTTCAGTGCAATGGGTTTAAGTTTTCTCCCACCTAGTCTTTGCACTTGTTTGCACATGTTAAACATGTCACCAAAAAGGTGCTACCAACATGAAACCAGCTGTCAGTAACATCCCATCCAATCCACATTTGCAAAGAAATCAAATAAACATAATAATGAGAAACGACAGGGAAAATAAGAACATACAGCAAGTTCTGTGGCTCATAGCAACATAGAGGACCACAGTTTTAAAAAAATGTATGAACAGACTGTTAATACAAATTTTGACATGATTACCTAACAAAAATTGAGAAGACACGAGCCTGTATCCCCTTTTTTGCTTGCAAATACAGTCAGAAGTCTCACACTGTTACATGTTGCCAATCAGTGCTGTTGTGTCTCCGGCGTCAGGAAGATGAGCCTAAATTCAGCTTCTCCCCATCTGTCCATCAAAAACAGGAAACAACTCAGAAGGTGATACGAGGTATGAAGAGATGAACCCCGGTGCCACCAGAAATAATATTGTTAAAAAGTGTTGAGTCACCACACGCCTTCTAAAAACGTCACTTCTCCTTGGTATTAATTGTGTTGTGCTGAAAGGTGGGACTTGTTTGGAAGTGATCCAATCAGAAGACACAACCTTGTGCAGTAAGGTTAGATGTGTAGATTTGATCTCCTACTGACAAATAGGAAAATAAGATGCTTTGTGAACTGGAGCAACTCTCACTGGTAAAAACACTTTAGGCAACCTAACCAACTTTAGATGTTTAGTCAAATGAAACTAGACTAAAAGAACTTAGATGGCCCCCAATGACCGAAACGACATCAAAACTTCAACATCAATATTCATAATCATGCTGAGCTCAGGGTGACCTGCTGAACACTTGATGCTTAAAGACTGAAGTCACTGAGTGCTGTCAGGGTTCTCAGCTGTTCAGTGTTCTGCCTGAGGATCATTTTAAATCACTTTTATTTTTCACTGAAAATAAGCTGCATCACCTGGATCACTTTTAGGATGCTAGTACTTTTAATGCTGGCTCTTGATTTTCTTTCATCTGCCAGTCGCAAAATTAGCTGTGGTGGAAAAAACAGAGTTTCCATCTTACCTTTGTTCCATGCTTTGACACACACTGCTCCCATCTAAGCCACATCCACTCCACAGCCTGTACCCATTATTCCACACCTCCATCATGTTTGCTGTGCATCCTTAAAATTAAATAAAATCTAACTGAGGTTGTGCCTTCTTATTTTCACCTCAAAGCTAATGTACAGTGCTGCTGAGTGCTGGGTAGGTGCCCGTCTTGCTCATTCTTTGAGTTTTGAAAAATAAACCACAATTGACAAAATGACCTTCATATTATTTAAATGTTACATAAAATTTCTCCACTTAAGCTCAAGTCCATAAAATTTAATTACTGGTAAATTACTGGAGTTACAGAGGACGTGATCTATCCAAACAGACATCTTTTTCGATAGATGAGTCGTCCCTTGATGACCATCGCAGAAAATGCAAGTTTAAGGCTCTCGTGCTTTACTTTTCAGACACACTTTTACCTACAGTATAAACACGTTACATCTAAAAGAGGGCAAGAAGAAAACAAAGAACCCTGAAGTGACTGATATGAGTGGATCTTTTTGGAAAGAGCTCCGACTGGCAGCGACTTTGACAGGAGCTGGAAAGAGTCTGTGCAGTTTTCTCTTATTCTGTTATTCAAAGAAAGAAAATCAAGTGCATATAATCAATTAAATAATAATAAAAAAAGAATGATACAAGTCAGTTTGAAATGGTTTCAAACGGGGATTCAGCATCAAGACTGCTTTGGCTGCCATCTGCCAAGAAATAAGTGGTGTTGATAGGATGACACTCGTCCATCCGCCTGAACTTTGACAGGCCAAAACCGTATCGTACGTACGTGTAAGCACATGGTGGTCAAGGTAAAGCCTCCATCAAATCACATCACACCATGTTTTATCGTCTTTTAAGGTTCTTACAGGATCATCATTCACAGAATAAAATCTGTCTCCATCTTCAGGTTGCTGGGCACCCACATCTCTGCCAATCTCACCACAGCACCATCACCCCAGTAAAGGCGGCCTGGCAGCAGCTGCACTTCCTCCGTGTGCTGAGGACCAGAAGCTGCTGCTGACCTTCTGACGCTCCTTGCCTGGGTGCTGGTACGCAGGGGCCACAACTGAGAACAAGAAGGCTGCCTAAAAGATCCTTGGCTGCCTTCTGCCACCCTTGGAGGCCATTGCCAGCTCCTCCTGCCTCAGGAAAACCAGGGCGTCACAGGTGACCCCTGCACCCCGCTCACCACCTGTTTGACCCACTGCCCTTCAGATGGTGCCTCAGGTTAGCGTCACTGGCAGCTGAGATATTATAGGTGGCAGGGCAGCTCTACAGAGCCAGAAGCGTAACATCCAGCATTTAAAAAAATGTATTTAAGAAGTGAAGAGTCCAAGCTGATGCTTCAAAACATGTAATTTTTATGTTGTGATACATATTTATATATATATAACTCATTGCTATGTAAATACACACATGCTCTAACTGCACTTTGTTAGTCACAGCTAACACAAATCCCTAAATAATAATATGGCAGAAATCTAATGCATTTAGACACAGCTCAGCTGACAGGATCACTTGTTACCTTGATGCAGTAGGAGACACACTGGGCGGCACTCCTGTCAGATCCAGTCTCACCAAGACTGGATGATAGAAGCAAACTGTAGTCTGGTCTGATGGATCCATCCTGTATCAGTCAGGCTAACGGTGTGTCATGTTGTGGGGCGTTTTCCTGACTATAGTCAGGGTTGGATCAGGCGACCATCCCTGCTGCGATAAGCTGCCTGGGCCTTCCTATGATGTACTGAGCGTTTCTTCTTCACTCTCTGTAAACACAGTCGCTGCATTGAATCTTAATTTTGCAATCTTTAAAGTCTCCTGTGACCTGTCATTATCACTGTGCTTCATAAGGGCAGCACCAACATTCATGTTGCTGGATTAAAACCTCGTGATTAAAAATACACTTTGAAGACTGAACTATGAAGCTGATCTCCAATGAGGAATCATTTCTTGGGAATTCTGATTTTAAAACAAGCATCAAAATCAAAGACTGATTTGCGACTGGTTAAAAATGATAAATGTACTCACCCACCACAGCTCACTGAGGTCCCACACCTCCAGACCCCCGCCCCCCCAGCCCAGATCCACTCTACTTTCCAACCTGTTCTTGTGTCTCTTGCTCCTTTGTCTTACTTTTTATATTTTATACCTGCACAGTTGGTGGAGCAGACAATCTGGGTGTGCACATACAATGACAGTAAAGGCATATTCTATTCTGTTCCATCACAAGCTTCTATATTAACCCAGGAATTCTGCACTCACAAAAGGAGGTTATTTCACTCTTCGACACAAACTTAGCCATGGCTAAGGCCAAACAGCAGAGGCCTGTTACCCATGATACGAACTCAAATTTAACAGACAAGCCCTCACATCGACATTCCCAGAGCTTTGTGTTCACATCGTGTACATACTGGAAGCACTGACTACGTTTCGGTCCACAGGAGTCGATTTGTGTTGCACGTTGCAGTAATTAAACAAAATCTTTCTATCTATATACACTTTCAAAGCAGTTTCAGTCAAGCAATAGCAAAGATGCTGAACACACAATCCACCGTGGCATGAACTGAACACCTGACAAACAAGCTTAGTTTTCCCCAATTTATGGTTTTATTGTCATACTTGTTTGCTTTGATAACATTTGAACACGCTCAAGCACACTGCCAGAACGCCACATGAGAAACCAAAAACTGGGTAAAAGCAGAGGGAAACATGTACACCCAAGATCAACATTTGGTTTCAACTGTTTAGTTCTTTCAATTTCCTTTGCAAGTTACTGTGAAAATCATTTTACACTCCGAGCAGAATCCTGGTCCACATCTGTTTTCAGATATAAATTCTGCCATTTGTCATTTATGGAAAGAAAAAAAGTGGAGGGGAAAAAAAAAAATCATGTATGATAAGCAGACCAGAGTAAGGAGGTGGGGGAGGTGGAGGGAGGGCTAACCCAGAATGGCATAGCTGAGCTCTCAATATGAGAAAGCCGACTCGTGTGGACATCATCTTGGTTTGTCATTTGCTTAAAAACATGTTTCTTTTTCACATGAGTTTCTTTTTCAAAGCTGATCTTCAGCACGCAGAAAGGGGGCGTGCAGGGAGGCGCTGTCACCACTGATAACAGTGTGGGCGGGTTAAGACCAAGCTCCGCCTGCTCCTCCTCACTCAGACTCTTAGACTCGCCGTCAATCTTCAGTCCCGCTCAGCCACCAGCTTCAGCACTTTTCCGATCGCGATGGTCTTCCCTGGAACATACAGCAACAAAGAAAACACTCCTCAATATTGCGTGAGTCCTAACACGGCTCTGCTATTGGAGTTCTGCTTCATTATATGTAGGATGCTCAGACAGGGAAAAATGAGTTCCGTATACATGCAAGTAATTCCTGCTGTGAGTGACATTGAGGCAAGCAGAAATCCTAATGTGGCTGCCTCATGCACACAGGGCTGACTGCGAGTACAGATGCTCTGTATATCTGTACACCTGTGTACTGTGCTGCAAGTCGAATAGTAAAAACGAGCATGACTGTTGATGAGTCTTTAAACCAGCTGCTTACAACAGAGCCTTTTATGGATGCAGACTGAGCTGCATCACCGAACCCGCACCCTGAAGTGGGACACCCGATTTATCCTCGCTGGACCGAGCAGCAAATCAGATGGCAGAGCTGATGTCTGCACGACGCAATCAGCAATAAAATAGTGGTTTTCTGTGCACATCCAACCAGTTTACCACATAGCTGGTTGTCACTAGCACATCACACCACAGTTTCTCTCTGAAGCATGAGCAGGAACATCCGCCAGCCTGTCTGCAGGGGAAGGGGAGAGACCCCCCCCCTCCGAAATGAGCTTCACTTCACAGATGTGAGGGGGGGGGAAAAAAGTCTCTCTGAAACTTATTTTGCACATATCAATTTAGTTTTCCTGCAGATGTAGTTTGAAAGTTCTTTGTCTTAATCCCACAGACTCTACAGCCCAGAAAGCCAGGTTAGCTGAGACTAAAGTCAAAGGTTTCAATTAACAAACAAAGCTCTCTCTCTGCCAACAGATCACCATGTGTGTTCAAAGTTTGACTTAAAAAAAGAGATTCCTTTCTTTAATGTTTTAAATGACAGTGTTCTGTAGTGTGGTATGGTTCTACTGAGATCATATACTGAGTTGTATCTGAATGAAGGCCAGCTGTGCAGTAACAGCAGCACAGTTTGTGTCTTTGATTTTCCAATTGCAATGTGTTTGTATCAGCTGGAACCTAATCTGCTGTTCAACACTGTTGAACTGCATCTACTGGGACTGTGTTCAGTTACAACTGTAGACCGTTCAATCATTAAAATGACTTCGATCTGGTCACAAGCTGCAGTGATTTTCTCGTTACCGTCTACATTATCAGACAGATAGAACGATAGATATATATGCACACACACACCTTCATCCCGTAAGGTGAACCGTCCCATCTGAGGGAAGTCTTTAAATGTCTCGAGGCAGATGGTCCCTGCTGTGCGCAGACGGGCGATGCACACCTGGTCCTGTTTCACAAACCGTGGTCGTGTCTTGCTCTTCTCTCCTGTCTTCTTGTCTACCAGACAGATTAAGGCCTGCACCCAAGCAGCATATGTGGATTTGTAGCAATCTTAAACCAAATGTATAACATTTGGACAGATTAAGATATATGGTCTAAAAGTCTTGAGCCACCACTCATTTAGATTTTGCTAGGATAAAGACAAACGCTTGCAAACACACTGCAGAATTTCAGTGAATGTAAGTGAATATTTGGTGTGAGCACCTTTACTCTTTAGCACATGCACTCTGAGGCAGCTCTGTCATTTCTTATGTTCAAGAACACTTTCCCAGACTTTTTGAAGGACATTGAAAGCTCTTCTTTGGACGTTTCTGCCTTTTTCCCTGTTCTCTGTCAAGATGATCCCACACTTCCTCAATAAAGTTGGATTCTGGGCTTTGGGAAGGCCAGTCCATAACTGATGGTTTTCCCTCTGTGTTTTGGCTTAATTATGCTTTTGCTGCACTGACAGTGTGTCTGGGATCACTGGAGAAGCTGCTGCCAATCTGAAGGTACTTTTTTCAATTCCAATAACTTTGATCAGATCTCCAGTGCAGCCCAAACCAACATCACTGCTGTACCTCCCTCCTGAACTCTGACAACAGTTTGGGTTCAGCATTTCATCATTGGCAGTTTTGTTTTTTTTACAACAAGCTCTCAGCTGACAGCTGTTTGGGGATCACCTTGTTAGCCTGTCTAACCGTGCTGTCTTTGGCCTTCTTCATAATGAAACAGATTATGTGGGGTTTGGTTTTTTAAAGACTGCTAGTAAGAAAAGCCCCTTTTCCATTAGTACCTGCTCAGATCACTCGCCTTTACCCGACTCAGACTGACAGTTACCTGTTACAATCGAGTACCACCTAATGTGCGTAGTTGTCGTTATAGCAACGCGGCCGGTGTGATCCCGGTCTGTGGCTTTTTGTCACACTTGAGGACCTCGTGTTATTTTTTGTAGCCAGTTCTCTTGTTGCCTGGTTTAAAGAATAAAAAAATGGCGGTTTGGATTTTCGTGAACGAGATGCTTTCATGGCTCGTGAGCGGTCAGTGACGCCACTGACCAGCCAATTGGTGGCGTGCAGTCTGACGACATCGCATGTTAGTACCTGTTTGGATCGATTGGAACTCTGGCCAAACAGGTACAACTGGAAAAATCCTGAAATCGATGCGAGTAGGTACTAATGAAAAGGAGGCTAAATAGGCCCAAATTGGTTCCTTGGTGAGTTGCCCGTTTTGTGAGGCCACTACACTGGTGTTTGTGTTGATACAGAATCTTTGTTATGCTTGAATGATTCACAGGTCAGTGTTAAACAGCTTAAGCAAAAACAAATCCTGTGAAAACGGTCAGGTATTTACACTGAGTGAAAAAGCAGCCAATGTCCACAACTTTCCATCAGCCTGGAGAGCTCCTGATCCACACCATATTTTAAATATAAAGAAATGAGTCGGGGCTCAAGACCATCGAGAATCTGGCATCAGGTTTTACCGTAATTTGCACTTCTTCAATGCAGGTGTGAATGTGAAGGACTGCATTGTAACCTGGACAGATGATGGATTTGTGTTCAATGATGACAATCTGCAGAGGAAAGAGTTCCGGTGATCAGGATAAGGCTGCCCATACAACATTTTCTCACTGTTAACATCAACAACTGTCTTGTGGCATCAAGCCTGAGATTCATTGCGCACCACGTGAACAGCTGCTGTGCACGTTGTCTCGATGCATGCTCAATCATCGTGGACGTAGCGTTTTGCTGTGAATGTTGTGTCGATGGGCCCTGTAATACCAGCAGAGCGTCCACGTGCACTAACCTGCGCGTCAAACGTGCGCCCTGAGTGGCACAGGTTCTCAGCATTGCACAGAATGAAGCCCGGGAGGATCTCCTCCTCCTCTATGCCTTTCAGTCGCAGCTTGAGATTTTCACCTGGCTCTGCGTCGTCCGTCTCCACGTCATCAGAGAGCAGACTCAACACTTCCACCACATGCTGCACATATAAAGAGACAGGACAGAGACGTGTATCCACATCCCCACACCAAAACAGGTGACACTGGCAAGGACCTACGTGGGATATCACTAGTTTGTTTTCCTTAATACCAGTTAGTTTCATGCAGCCTATTACATCTGAATACATGCTTCTAATTCTAATTTTAACTACAGGCAAACAGCCAGTGAGCAGCAGCAATAATCTCACCTGGCTCCGGCTTATGGAAGAAGATCTCTTACCCTGTTTGGCATCATGACCAGCTGCTGTGCTTTACTGATGGAGCCAGACTCCAGTTTGCCCAGAATCACAGTGCCCATGTCCTGGTGGAGACAAAGAGTGTTACAGAGCAGCTGAGAGAGAATCTGTGCATCTATCAGTCTGACCAAGTCTCCACTTCCACCGCAGCAGGACATCATGTCCAAGTTCAATGTGGCAGCAAACGATTAGAAAGAGCGGCTGTGACGAGAGGTGGCCACTCACTCGCCATGAGAGCATCAGACTATCATATGCCAGACACACTGGGACGATCTGGAGGCCGGTTAATCTCAGTGTGGACTCCATCGGACATTCATGTTTTAATATTTCTGTCAGCAAATGTCTAGGAAAGCTCAGGGTTGCAGCGCATATGTGCCTGTCAGACTTCATGCTGAGATGATGTTTCAATGCTGGGAGATGGCACGCTCCTTCAACTCTGTGCAGAGCAGAGACGGCTAAGAGGAAGTGCTCCGATTCAGAGTCAATCTTTAACCAGCTAATCAGTAACTTCTGATTTTAGGTTTGTGGTTTGTATACGCTGCATGACATCATGCTGCAGGGGCTCACAACGCACCGTCTCATAGCCCCGTCAAGATTACACGCAGTCTGTGTCACGTAGAACATGTAGTTTGTATCAACGCACAAACGTAAAAACTTTCCCCGTTTGGTTTGTTAACCTTTGTCAAAAGCTCCACCCTTTCGTAGAATTAACCAATTTTCTTGGTTAAATCTAATCACGCTAAACTGTAATGCAGCTTTTAGATGTGCAAATGAGAAAGACCCTTACCTTGTATTTGTCTACGATCGGCAATCTTACAGGACCGTCACTTGATCTGTTAAAATTTGGCAAACTGTCCAAGTGTGGAATAAAAGGTAGACCTCTGCAATATAAAACAAAAACGATTCCTCGTGTTTAACTTGTTTGCCTGATCTCTTCAGTCGCCACAGGTGCAAAAAGGAACACAGCAATACTTACATGTACCACGAGCACATGTTGGCGGGCTCCTTCAGGTTGGCTCCTGTCAGCCCGGAGCACGGCATGAAGTGGACATCTTTCTTTGGATTGAAGCCCACTTTCTTTAAAAATGGCACCAGTTTCTCCTTACACTCTTCGTACCTGCGGGTTCAGACAGGGTGGATGTAAAGCTCTTCAAAGGACAGCAGCATGACACAAAGTGACCACCACATGTATCAGCAGTGGGTGGAGGACAATGTGGCACGTGCAGCACCAGTGAGGTCAAATGCTGACAGGATGAGTGGAATTAACCTCTGATTCAGTCTCCCACAATAAACAAGCATTTATTTCAAACTCCTATTGAAGTAAAAATGAAACAGCATGTAGAGGCCAGCAGAACAGAGAATGTGGATTCCCAGTAATCGCTGCATGAGACGACTCAGGACAGTGTTAAACTCTACATTACTATTGTTATTAATAAAAGTAAACCCACTAATGCTCTAATTACAGATTACAGTGTAAGCCAGTCAGACATGTGCGTATATGTATACATGCAGACTTTAGCTGCTGTTCAGTGTCCAAACCTTTCCAGGCTCCAGTTGACAGTAGGATCATCCATTTTATTCACCAGAACTATCAGGTGCTTGACTCCGGCTGTTTTGGCCAACATGGCATGCTCCCGTGTCTGTCCACCTTTCTCAAAGCCGGTTTCAAATTCACCTTTCCTGGCAGATATCACCTGTGGGACAAAACACTCACTCACTTTGTGCTGCAGCCTGGTGTAACGTCATGAAACAGATAACACAAATGCATTAACAACAAAACAATAAAGACGTTAGAGCTTAGCCTATCCCAGCTGTCACACGGTAAGGACGGCACACACTGAGCAGCTCACCACAGGGTTATGAACATGAATAATTCTGAGCACTGACATTTTTATACTTTTAACTTTGTCCAAGTTTAAAGGGTTCAGTAACTAGTAGTGTCGTTTTTTCAATCCTGTCATACTTTGGAGCACTTGGAGGGAAAGTATGTTAAGCACAGATACTCCTTCATAAACACTATAGAGGGAGTGTGTACGAACAACTATGGACACAGATGTTTTTGAGAGGTTGGTTATACTGAATAAAGATGGAACCAAACTCTTCACCTGAGGCAAAAACACAGGCAGGGTGTGAAGGCATTGCAAGGAAGAGTTAGCTGATGATGTGCAACCAGGAGCAAACAAATAACTCAAGCAAGGATCACCAGCTGCTGCCTGACAGGAAGAGCCCACGATGAACGGGAAAACAGGACAGCTGGCTAAAAGACTCAGGCAGAAAAGTTTCCAGCTTTATTATGTGATAACACCTCAACTTCTAATGAGTTACAGTGTTAACTTCCTTTAGTTATTGTTAAACTGCCATGTTACGCAGTTGTGTTATACTTTTACTCCAAATTCTCAGAAAACATCTGAGCTAGGGCTGCTCGATTATGGCAAAAATGATGATCTCGATTATTTGACGATATTTATTTAACAATAACAACGTGTTGAATAATGACTTTAAAGATTGTCAAAAATAATATAAAATAGTGCAAATACTGATAACAGTGCAAATGTTTGCAATATAAGAA